AGCATCAAATCCACCATGGCTGGGTATATATACCACTATGTTTTCCGAGTGTGTCCCAGATGGGATATACATGAATTGCTTTTCATCCCATACAAAACCGTGTTCTTCTATCCTATTTAGCACCAAGATCCGAGCCTTATCATGATGAACAAACCTCAAATTGAAAAATGCAAGGGCCATTATATGAAGATTGTCCACGGTCCGCCTCGAGATGTCAAGCCAGATCTTGAGGATTCAACAAAAGTTAGCATGCGGCGGGTGGGAAACTGCTATAAAAGGTAAGTTAGCATAACTCTCTTCGTCCTTCTAATCATTTACTTATTCCTTTAGATTCGTTGAGGAGGAGCTTAATCCACCCATTCCACGCTACTGGATGGAGAATTTGACAATGAATCTTGTTGAGGCCTTTCTACGCTGGTACCTTGACGAGCATAATGTGGAATCCCTATCAGGCTTCCTTGTGCTGGTTCGTTTCTGGAGGATATTTTATTGCTATGAGATGAACAAGGACTTCCCCTATAATCTGAAGCGCAAGACAAAAGAGGTATGTCTACCTGTGTTGTGGATTCAACAGGCATATCTCACTGTTCCCGTAGCTCATCTGTACTATAATCAAAATCGAATACGGCCTATGTGAGATAGTTAAGTCTCAGCCACCTTGCAACGCAGATTCCCTTCTCTATCTTTTACATGCTGCTGCCCTATCTGCAGTGTTCTTTCCGACACATAGACAGAGAAGCCAGCATGGAACAATACGGAAGATGATGACAGCAACATCTGCACGCCCAGGAACCATCCTTGAAAGCTCAGGATACTGCAGGACGAACGATGCCCTTCTCTGGGGAGATCTTGAACTCTTCATGGTTACAGACCCCGAATATCCATCCTGTCAGGTTCTTCTTATGAGGGTGACACATCGACTCAACAAAGGCAAGCGGAACAAGGGCAAGCCGTAAGTTCTACCACTGACTCATCTTTTGAATTTAGAACTGATCTTTATCTCCAGTCCAATCTTTACATACACTGAACGAAATGATAACCTAGCATTTTGTGTCATTCAGGACATAATAGAGTTTGCATTTGTGGACCAGGCCTTCAGCAGTGAGCATATCAAGGAGCCTCGAGATATCTGGCGTCATACCAAAGTGCCAGCACACAGAAAAAGCACACCGATCCATTTTAAAGCTTCCATGAGGGACGTGCCTGTGTTCCGACCTGGAGTCCGTGACGCGCATGGAAACTGGACTACTCATTCAACAAGGGCTCTGACAGCAGTTCGATTTGGAGAGGACGAGAAAAAGTTATGTATAGACGCGGGTCTTGAGGATCCGGGCTCAGCATACAAGTACAGAAAGGGAGCTGCGGCGCGCTTCGACGGTTGGTTCACCCCAGTAGCTAGAGGATATATAGAGTCTCTGACGTGTGCCGCTATGCAGGGAATACAACCGAACATCGGAGAAATCATATGATGGGTCATGCAGGGAGCCATATCTTTCGGGAATATGTCAATCAACGTGTGGATATGGATACGCAGTCGGTGTTCCTTGAAACAGCAACCAAAGATGCTCTGATCAAACTCTCCTGCCATTCAGGTCTTACCCGTGACCCCTCCGCTCCAAAACATCTAAATGATGATCAGAAGAAAACGGTCGAGAAAGATATGAAGTTGGGGGAATTAAAGCATGAACACCGGTGTCTTCGAAATGATCTCATTGCACAGTACGGACAGTTAAAGAATGCACGAGACACAGTTGAAGGTTGCAGGTACCGTATGCTGGGCCGGCGAATTCGATCCAGACGGAAGAAATTGCAAAAGGAAGTCTTTAAAAAGGCATACCATGACTTCTTTGGAAATGTCGGCAACGATATCATCGAGAAAAATTATCACGGCCAGGATACTACCTTTGTTCCAGATACATCTCTGGTCCTTCCAGAACGGAAGGAATTAGCTGACCTCGACTTTCAAAACCGGGATGCGAGCACTGTCTCTGAGTCGCAATTACTCGAGGATCGTATTCGATCCCTGGAACTTCGTCTTGCTCTCCATCACCTCCACATGCCCAAGCACCTGGCGTCCAAGATCGTCCCCACAGAGCTGGCACGGGATAAGCCCTTCCCAGCCAACTTTCCAACCCAGAGCCCGACAGGTTTGCAGTGCCCTGACGTTTAGGCAACCTGGATTATCACCCAGCAGCACGGCAATACACCTTCAGCAGCAAGTATGCCTTAAAGGATCACATTGATGATGTGCATCTGGCAAACAGAGACTTTTCGAAGCAAGTAGAGTGTCACTACCCTGATTGCAAGATGCCTTTGGTTTCCAAAATATATTTCTATAATCACATCGTAACTGTACATGGCATTCTACTCCCTGGTGCATGAGGAAGCTCCTTCTAGCTGTGCTCCCTGAAGCTCGAGGAATTCGAGAACATACTCGAAGGTGGGTTTAGGTAACAAGTTTGCTTCCCACTGGCTAGGGGTAAACGCAGCTGCCCATTACGTCGCCACGTCTATTCCTAAGCTACGGATTCTAGTGCATGCATGAGGGTCCGGCGGGCAGCCTGGAAATGATGCCAAACACTATCAATATCCGTTGCAAGCCAAGAATCCTGGAGCACAGCATTTAGGCAGCAAGTGTTATTATCCTTGTTCATACCAGCTCACTTTTGACATGGATAACAGTTTCGCCATGTCTAGGCCACCAACTGTTGGAAATTCTAAGAAACGAGTCACGAGGCACGAGCAAATCGACTGGAAATTTGCATCTCAACAGAAACCCTGTCGCTCTTGCATTAGGCAGTTTTAAAGCATTCATCGCAATGCCGAATGGCTTGCGAAGACCTTCATCAACCTCCTCGGACGGCGACAATACATCTCAGCAAGGCGAAATCATGGCAATCCATAGCCAGGTGCTCAAGATGAGAAGATCGGCATGCAGCGCGTAACATTGGAGTGCCGGTGAGCATTATTTCCATATCCAGTGGGCTTTATTGCTAAGGTACGTCGAAAGTGAGTACAAGGAACGCAGTTCAGGTCAGTCTGATCATTACCGACCATGGACGTCTGCGAATCAAAATGAACTACCCCCTTTTGGATATAAATGGTTACTTCTCGGTGGGAGACTATTGCGGTTGTCATCTTCTCATTGTGGGCATGAAAAAGCTGGAAACCAACAATGCCTTTGGGCTGCGGCCACCTCTGGATATTTAATGTTCGAACTTATTAGCTGCGGTGTATGAATAGTGATGTTTCCACTCTCCGCATAGAATATATGCATTGGGCGGCCTCTAAATGACACTTATTCCGCCAGAACAGAGCAATCATTAATGCTATTCAGTTTCAATCAGCGCGATGACAGGGTTATCTACAGCGGTATATCGCTATTGTCATGGCAGCTGCGAAATATTCCATCGCGTGAAGAAAAATCTCCAAAATTCCTATCAGACACAGGTATTGAAGCGACCAAGAAGGCATAAATAGTTTCCATCAACACAGCTGGTTAGGGCAATATTAAAATATTATCATTTGGATTATTCCACATACCTATTAAAAGACAAAACAAAGAGTAATTCACGCTATCAATACACAGAATCTTTGCTAGTTTACAGCATTTGGGTTATCCTGTGCGTCTTGAAGTGTGTCAATCATTTTCCGGGATAGGTTGAAATTTGGTTTCTTCCACCGTCCGCCGTCTGGAAAGACAAGGCGCCGTAATCGATTGACGCAAGGGATAAATGATTGATAATATGGAGTGAAATGGTCTTCTGCGATTCGAAGAAAATCCCCTTCATCTGCCACAATTCCTTTCTTAGCATGGGCCAGCTCTTCTGTATCCATATAATTCCATTTCTCAAACTGCTTCATTACTCTTCCCTTTCCTGGACCTTCATAGTGAATGCATATCCAGAAAAGAACCCAGAAGAACGACTCTAGATCATGCATGAAACAATGCTTTTCGCCGTACAAGACACCGATGGCCATGAACGCTCTGGTGCCCGTTTTGCCCCGTGCGCCGGAAGACCCATCCCGTTCTAACTTGATTGCCAGGTCAAGGTCGATCAGAAAGGCAGGCCATGATGGGTTGTCCTTGTCCTCATTCACCATCAGGTTCCGAGGGGAAACGTCGCATTGGATGAGGCCAGCCTTATCATGGAGTGACATGTATCCTTCAATACAGCGGGCCAGCCCAGTGAGAAGTGTAGCCTTTGAACTACTCTCATAGATTGGTTTCCCGTAATCCCGGATAACGACGCGCCGGTGAACTCGATTGAATGGGGTAGAGCGGCCGGCAGATTTGGATGGAGAACTTGACTGGGAACGTTTACTGGGGGGAGGAGGAAATGCCTTGTCCACGCAGTCAGATGATCGCTTCTGGCCGGCGGTGCTGCCCTGGCTCTTTTGTCCTCTTTGAGACCTACTACGCCGCACTCTCGCGTTAAAGCCACCCTTCTCATCTTTCGAAATCGGAATACCGAGGCCCTTTCTGATAGTCAAGACATCATCATCCTTGTCGTCAATGCGAACGGTCTCGTGGTGATAATACCTCGCGACATTCTTGACCCCTTTCGCCATCGCCTCTCGCAGCAACTCTCCTTCCTCAGTGCGTTCCGGATACTGCCAGGAGTCCTTGACGACCAGCGGCGTCCGTGATTTGTCTGTCTCACAGTATACCTTCCAGCACGTTGTGGCTCGCCCGGCAACACAGCGTGCTCGTCCAACAATCTCGTCGATGATCAGCCGTTCCTTCGTACCGTTCTTCTCAATTTCGATATACCGTTCGGTCCCGGTCGTGACGATGGTAGGATCAAACCCAAGTTGTTTCCGGTTCATCAAGAGGAATCCAAGGATAACAGACACAAATCGAAGGCCGTCCTGGTTGATATTGAATTCCTCCGACGCGATCCCGCCCAGACGGTCAAAGTTCCACAGTCGTAGGAACGGCCCGCAGAGGGTGAACCCGAGCACGAAACGACGGGTGTCCTGCGCAGCAAGGACCTCTCGGGCGTACCTGCCAAGATCAAACCATGCACCAGATTTCCTGTCGTATTTCGGGTCGTTTTTCAGCTCTCCTGGCACCAGGATCTGCGACCAGTGACATCTGGAGTCCTCTGTGGCCGTCAGATCATCGACAAAGCCGACATCGAGCTTTCTCTCCGCGACAGACCCTTGTAGTGGCTGGCTTGGCTGTGCGAGAGGTCTGCGGTCGATCTTCCAGGACGGCTCTTGTGCTTCGGCTAATCGTACGAGCTCAGCGATGATGTTAGCGAGCCATTTCAGAACGTCTCTTTCCGCTGCAAGTTCAGGCCAGCCCTTCCAGCCCTCGTCTTCATGGTAAAGGGGGCTGTCTCCCTTCTCGCACTCCTCCAACACCGCTTGTGAAACTGCAGTGAGATGTGGAATGTCTCCAAAGTACGCGTCAAAGAATCTAGGGATGTCGACGTGTATCTCTCCAAGCTCCTCCTTCAGCACAATGTCAACGTGCTTTCGATATTCTGCAGAATTGACGAAACTGCTAGTGTTGCGCAGCCAGGGCGTCTGTTGGATCGATGATGTAGGATGAGGAGGAGGGGGGGGAGTGCCTCGCGAGACGGTGTCAATAAGAACAAAGACGGCGTTCCAGACGTCGAAGTTCCAGGTTTCGACGTTCTGGGACTCAGTGGGGGGAAGCCTTTGGATGACCAGATGTACCAGCCGCCTGTAGTGGTTGTAGCTGAAGTTGGCCCGTTGAAGGCTCGTAAACAGATTTGCTATATCAGAAGCCACATTTCCATTGCTTATTCGTGAGCGAATATTGAGCGCCGCTTCCTCTCCCTGTAAAGCAGAGAGGAGTTTTGAAATCGCATTTCGATAAAGCTGGTCCTGGCTCTCATCAGCGCCATCATACTCATATTGTCTTTCGGCTTGCTGAAGCGCGCCTCGTAAATGATCGACTAAGTTGGCTAGAGGATGGTTCTTGATAATGTTGCGATCTTCTTGTGAAAGTCCCGCCATTTTGATGGTATAAAAGACCGTTGGAGTTGGTGTGAGGTTAACTAAGAGTTGTAAGGGGAGAAAAGGTAGGTTGGTATGCTAATTTTATGTGATGGATGGGAAGCAAACACGAGAACAAAATGCAGAATTGTTGGCAAGTTATGATGTATGATATCTGCGAGAGAAGATAGCTCGCTGGGAACGAATGCTGGTATATATAATCAAAGGGAGGATTATGATCAAAGGGTTGATCCAGCTTGGCTCTGATGCAGAACGCGAATGTGGGAGCGGATAAAGCCGCCAAGTAAGGAACTGGGTGGAGATTATCCCTATTGGATCGCGACTGAATGGTAATAAGCGCGAACAAAATAGAGGGATTGATTGTACCTAGGTATACCGTATCATGGGGAATTACCTTACTTGGTTTAGCGCTATCCTGATCGGGTTTAGCGCAGCGTCGCCGCTTCCTGGACTATATAAACCCCCTCCTCCCGCCGCTCGAACATCCTCTCTCCATCGTCCCTATTTTCCCTCTCTTTCCTCAAAAATTCTCTTGACTCGTGTGTGCCGTGCCCATCCCTTCTTCCCCTTGCCGCTGCTAGTGTCACCTGGCCCGGCTGTGCCGCAGCTGAAATTGTTCTTGACATGGTAACCATGTCCACTTCCCTTCTTCCCCGATGCAATTTCGCCTCACTCTACCGTCAAGTTACCCTAAAATCATGCAAGACTGAGGCCCGCTACTGGGATATCTAGTCTGCCCGGGACTGTGGCTGGCTGAGGTTTCCTGTTCACTTTGTTGATCTTGTCGCATACACGACTAGCTAATGCTCTACATCCTATATTTGATGTTTTGGGGTTCTGCACACCTAACCTATCAACGCTGCCAATCCCATCCTGTCTGTGCCTTGGTGCTTGTTGTCCTTAATCTCTCCCTTTCGCAATCGGTCGGCATCGGCAAACCCGATGTTTCTCACCTGTGGTGCACGCCGGTGATTGGCGGCCTCCACTCGTTGAGAGTACGCCAATGAAAAAAATGCCTCTGCATGGCAGAAACGGTATCTGCCTTGCTGCGCCGCGGACCATTACGCGTCAGGAGCGCAAGGTCTGGAAGGTCTGGTTGGTTGCAAGGGTTACATGTCCAGACCAAGAAAAAAATCTCCCCGACGATTCAAGTCTCGCGGCGTGACCGGTGCATGACGTGGACATGATCCAAACTGCTCCTGTGCAGGTGAATTTTCGGTCACGCTATGTTCCCTCTTGACCAGCAGCAAGATACCGAGTCGACAAAGATGGATGTCCACTGGAAAAGGGGCTTCAGCCTCAGCCTCCTGGGGGCTCAAATCGACCAGGAGAGAAAGGGGCGATGCGACAGTGTGATGCGACGTCCGAGTTTCCCCATTTTCCCGATCCGCACTTCGATGATTTAACGGACTGATTCGCTATTGGAAATTCGTGTTCTGCTATAAGACCGTGCATTGGAGCGGCTATGGTCGCATGACAATCATCTAGCACCCCTTCAGTCAGTGCTACAGTTTAGGAAATAAAAAGCGAGAGGGTTTACGATCTTCCCTTGCTTTCTGCGTGGACGGCGGCTGGCGTTGCAAGGTTATAGGTGACACTCATTTTCCTGCCTTGTTTTACCAGGATTTGGCCGACCTCCCCTCCGTGGCGCCAACGTTCCTGCACCATGGTGATTCTTCCTGCAGGGAAAATGTGATGGAAGCGAGCAGAAGAATGGCACCAGCAGGATTTCTCTCATTCGCCCGTGTTGAGATCGTCGTAAACATAAAAGGTGCCAAATTCCCGACCGAAATTGTCGCTACGAAAAATATCAGAGCACTACGAGCACAGCAAGCGCACCCCATATCCCATTATTGCAAGCAGCAATTCCAACTCACTGACAATGACACCCTCTCTGCCGGAACATGCTGCGACACGCGAGATTCCAGGTAGGTACAACGGCCCTGAGTTGTCGGTACAAAATCTGACCAGTATTCGAACAAGAATCCTTGGCAGCGAGCTTCTATGATCCCCAGAGGTCGCCTAGATCAAGTCCCCCGACTATAGACCAACTTCTATCACGACTTGTCCGCCCAAGCCTTCCTCGCTCGGCCGACGGTGAACCTGGATCGTCACCGGACAACCCGATTGATCTGGATGATAGACCGGATGAAGAACTCGACACGGAACCTCTCAGTGAAGATCGAGAAACGTCACCCCTTGGAGGCGACGCCGAGCGTGAGTGCGATAGTGAAACTGGTGATGGAAGGAGCAGAGAGGCAACGTCAATTCGGGACTTGGAAGGGGAGTCGCAGACGCAGCCACAGTCGGGGTCACGCCCAACAGGACCCCCCCAGCCAGTACCAGAGCCAGAGCCAAAGGCGGCCACTGCATGCGAACGTGAGTTTCCCTGATACTGTGGGCTGCAGAGGGCATATATTAATGAATACAGGAGGCCTCGACTGCGTTGGCAGCGGCAAGGAGAATGTTGAACCATCGCCGCCACGGTCCATTTCCGGTGCACTGCCAGATAACATCTCCGAGGACGGACCCTCGAAGGAAACCCATGCTAGAGTCGGCGACTCTTTCGCGCCCCACCTTGAGCCAGACACAAGCGGCCCCCCCAATATCCTGCTACATCGTGAGACTAGGGAAGGGCATCTTGAATTTCTTCTGTGGGCACCCATATGGCGGTCGGAGGATGACATTGCGAAGGTCCATCCGGATCAGCTCAAGCGATACAAGGAGAGGTTGGACGTCGGGCCTGCAAGAAGGGCCTCTCAGGCGAGAAAACGAGCACGGTCACCTTTTCCAGAGCCTAGGAGATCATCACGTCAGAAAAAGCTGCGGCAGCACTAAATATAGGTTCGGTAAACGGAAGTCAGCGAATAACCCTTGTGCCATTGTTGTCTTGTATGCTTGTCTTGCCAGTATATTTGGCTAACTTGAGGATAGAGGATATGTAGTGTGAGGCCATGCAGTTATCTGGATTGTATTGATATCTTACCCGGTTTATAATATCATATATATTCCAACTGTGCCAGGTTGCTAATTGCTCCTTTCGCGCGCTGGAAATTCTGTTAAACAGTTAAAACCTATATATATATATGTAGTCTCAAGCCCTCAAAGTGCCGGCTCTTTGAAGGAGAGCTTCAACGTGAGCTGATTTTGGAAAGGCCCGGATAGAGCCAGAGCACTTTGACCTGATTCTAGGAAATTGTATGCAGCCACCACATAGGGGTGTGGCATAGCTTCGCCGCTTGGGGAAATTTGTTTCCATGTATGGAGTTTGGTCCGAGTAGGCGTGTGTTTCTCACAACCCCAACCTAGCTAACCATTATCACGGGATCTCTCTTGATTGGCTTTGCCACAAGATGACTGAGGTGGATCCTTTGCTTCATTTTCTCTGGCATGGCTTTTTGGATTTATCGCTTCACC